GAAAGGACTTTGTCCCACACCGAAAATGGAGAGTTAAGGATGTGCTTTTTTATAAGCTTTCCTTAGCTATTGGGTTGGGCCCTTGGGGGACCGAAGTTTTGTTGTGCGGTGAGACCCATATACGGTAAGCGTGGAATTAATTCTTCACACAAGCGCGCCGCCCCCGCCGTTCGGCCGATCGGGTCGGGTCTTTGACCGGTCAACTCTAGTGTTTAATAGTCCACATGTCTAAGGCTTGGGATTATATTTTTTGGTACGTTTTTAATTCCTATTTTCGGATAAAACTAAAATAGAAAAGACACCACCTTTTGTTTTAAATAAAAGAAATGTCATGAACTTTTTTAAGTGAAGTCTTTTGGGTTAGAAACTCCTAGCCAATTGATCTCCTATTTTGGCAATCCAAAAATTCAAAAACAATTCTTCCATACTCTCTCTCTCCCTTTGTTGCATCTTTGAGTTCACCGGAATCCCGTTGGGAGCGAAGAACCGTTCTATCCTGTGAGACGCTTGTTACGTGTGTCGGGCAAAAATGTCTTAAGGAAACAACATTTACGTTGGGCTCGATTACAATTAATCTTATGTTTTTTCTTAATTATTTAATTGTTATTTCATTTGCATGCAGAATATTATACAAACATATAACATAATGTGTGTGATGTTATATGGACGCTTTGATATCACATGTTGATTTTATTTTAATACATGAGAACCAAGATCTACACATCACACAACATATTAGATATGTCATCATATACATGTTCATATAGATAAACTTATATGATGGGAAACCAATCTTTTTTAGACCATGATTAGTTGATGAAGAAGCCATTGTTGCCCTTGTAGTCAATGAATGTGTCATCCCTTTTAAGGACAATAATAGATGGAGTGCTAATTTAGGGAGTTGTGTTTCTCTCCTAAATTTTATGGTGTTTGTACACGTTTTTCAACAGGTAGAGAATGGAGTATTAATAATGGGAATATTCAATAGTCTTCATTCTTGTCCTAAAGAGTGTTACCACAATGGTATCCCTTAAATGTTATTTCCATCAAATAGTACATATTTGTTTTTACTCGGGGGGGGGGGGGGGGGGGGGGGGGTCTGGGGGGAGCCTGGAGTAATTAGGGCTGAAACTCACTCCATTGAGTTTCAAACCCTTGTGTGCCTAGCGGGATTCGAACTCGAGATCTCCCACTAGGAACGGTAACCTCGCAACCAGCTAGGCTGGAGAGCTTTCAAATAGTACATATATATAATACATAATTATATATATATTACATAAATATAGAACACATGTTAATATTAATCCTATGGCCACATTAATTAGAAATAATCCAACGACATGCAATGGGAGTAATAAGACGGAAAGGATTATTGCAACAACTTTGGGATTCCTGGTAGGTTGGAGAAGAGTCCACAAACCAGAGAGCAGTTCGGTTTTCCCATTGCAGGATTTCAACAACTGGGAGGGTCTTAAGGCTGGAAGAATAAAGGTTAGTACAGATACTTCAGTTAGGAAGGGGACGGGATGTGTGGGTTTGGCGTGGAATGGAACACAAACTTTTCTAACCAGAGGAGCCAATAATGGAATTGGCTAGTGACTTCCAAGTAGGCATGAACTCGGGCCAGGTGGCCCGACCCGGAACCGACCCGACACTATTTGGAACCGGCCCGAACCGGTGGCCCGGTCAGGGACCGGTATGGGTAAGCCCGGCCCGGGGGCTATACGGTGCGGGCTCGGGTCACCCAAAAGACGAACCGGCCGGGTCGGGCCCGATTCCGAGCTTTTTTTTCAATTATATTTTGTTTATTCTGGGTTGGGGCAGTGTATTTTGGGGGGCTGGGGGGATCGGGGTTAAGTAGAAAAGCCAAAAAAAGTCAACTAAGTAGCCCGAGGCCCGGCCCGTACCCGGTGGCAACCCGGGCAGGTTCCGGGCCTTCCCCCATTTCTCAAAAGCCCGACCGGGCCTAGGCCCGCCCCGACCCGGCCCGGGTCCATGCATACTTCCAAGGGAGGCTGAGCCGCTATTTTGAGGGAGACTATCAACGGGATTAAATAAGCGGGATAGACTAATATTGATGTGGAATCCAATATTAAGCTCGTTTAGGTTATTTGAGAAGGACCAAAAGACTCTTCATTCATATGATTGCTAACCATATTTTTTTTATATCATTTAGAGTAATTACTCATACAATTATTTAATGATTGCTAACCATATTAGAGAAAAATCAGCTTCTATACATGACATAAAATTTGTACATGTGAGACGATTAGTGAATTGCGTAACCCACGATTTAACAAAAGCTGTAGGAATCCGCACGGGTAGCTCAATTGGTCGAGTGGTGGGAAATTTGGAACAATGACCAAGGTTCGAATCCCCGCATCGACCGGGTGGAGGTCACAGAATCTGAAATAAGGCTGGGCCTCTGGTACGCACGGGAGTATAGGCCCACTGCCACTCTGCTGACTAAGTCACCGTGAATTATATCCTCTCAAAAGTCCTGACGGGTCGGGGCTTGAGGGCGCTTGGGGTTGGCGATTCAACCTTTTTTGGAACAACAAAAGCTGCAGGTTCTATGGTTGGTTGCTGCGTTTGACATAAGATTCTCTCGATTGAACCATGATTTAATTACTCTTAGTCACAAAAAAGGGACGGAAAGGAAAGTAGTGACCCATCGGCCCACGCAGTGGCAGATTTACTATGGGGGCAGTGGGGGCAGCTGCCCCCTCTCAACCCCCACCCAAACCCTATATATATTTAACATAAAATAATATTTATATTTATATGCGTAATAGAGTATTATATACAATAATTACGTTAAATGTTACAAAGGTTACGTTGGCTTAATGGGAGAGCCTGATTTCGGCGGTTGTATTCATCCTGAGGTCGGGTGTTTGACCCCCTGCATTAACATTTTTTCCCTTCTTCTGCTTTTTATCATCTTTCTCTCATATTCTCCTTTAAAGAGGTTTTTATCAGAATAATGTCTAATAAAAAAATATTTCCCAAATTAAGGTTGGGTTTAAACTATTTCCCAATTTGCTGTTGGGTTAACTCCGGTTACGAGACCTGCAATCTCAGTTGGCGGCTTATACATACTCCGTATTAAATAAACGGAATACGTAGTGCATATAACTTTTTAAACGGTAATGTAGCAACCAACCAATGACAAGAGAGGTTAATAATGATCATGTTACAACTTTTTAAAAATCAACTATTTTTTAAAAATGCTATAACTTTTTTATTTGTGCTCGAATTGTTACAAAAATTATATCAAAACTTATAACTTTTTATTATCTTTCATATGACACCAATATTGCATATCTAAAAAGAAAAAAAATTAACACCATAAACACTTCTCTTTTTGAAGTGTTATAACTTGCTCCGATGTTAACAAAAAATATATCATAATTCATAACTTTTTATACCTTTTCATATAACATCAATCTCTTATATATATAAAAACAATCTATTAATTTGTGCAATTTAGAATCATTGTTTAGCATGCACAGTAGTAATCTGCAATGTTAGCCTAGAATATAAGTACACAAATTCTAAGCTATCATTTTTATTTTATTACGGAGTATTTACTATTGCACTCGAATTTGTGCAACTTTATTCTAAGCTATCACTCAGATGAATAGCGTGTACGATAAAAATACGACTCTAAAAGTATAAAATTAATAGAATTAATTTTATTAATTTTATCTCTGTAATATTCGTGTCATGTGTAAGATAATAAAAGCTATGAATTTTTAATATTCATAACTTTAAAATAGAAGTAATATTCAAAGTAACATTTTAAAAAACAGAAGTTTTTAAGAGCGCTAAATTATTATTTTTACTTTATAAATGTAAAATTGGTGTCATATCAAAGATAATAAAAAGATGTAAATTTAAATATTTTTTGTAACAATTGCAATACAAATTAAAAAGTTATAGCACTTTAAAAACATAAGTTTTCTAAAGTGCTAAATTGCTTTTTTTATTTTATATATGTAATATTGATGTCATATAAGAGATAATAAAAAGTTATTAATTTTGATATTTTTTGTAACAATCGGGATACAAATAAAAAAGTTATAACATTTTAAAAATTAGAAGTTCTTTTAAAGTGAGAAATTATATTATATATATATATGTAATATTGGTGTCATATGAAAGATAATAAAAAGTTATGAATGATGATATATTTTTTATTACAATCAGAATAAAAATAAAAAAGTTATTGAGCTTTTAAAAAAAGAAGGAAATGTTTTAGTAGTGGGACACAGGACTATTGTTCATTCCTATGTCCTGGATCGGCAATAGCGTACTTCTCTCCTCTGGAATCGGTCGGTGGGTCATTCAACCAGGGTTAAGCATAACATCATTTTGGGAAATATTGTTAGCCCAACCTTAATTTGGGAAATATTTTTTTATTTAACATTATTCTAGGAAAAAACTCTCCTTTAAAAGATTAAAGTACACTATACGTTTCTCATACTTCCTTTATTCTTTTATTTTTTTTTAATTTAATTATAACAATCCACTTTATAAGTTTATCGATGTACAAGTTCTATCATTAAAAAATTTAAAAATTCAGTTCTTGATAATCTAAAGTGAGAGAAATTAAAATATTTTTCAAAATTTGAAATTGTACTATATTAATAATAATATATAGTCATAGTAGAATATATGTGAATAGGGCAAAATCATCAACTTTGCAACCAAAAGAGAATGAAGGTAGCATAATTTATAAAGTTTTGCAATTACTTTTTTGCACTAAATACAAACAGATTTTTAGATATAGTTGTGCATTGGAATTTACAATAACACTAAATATACACAATATTCATCCATTATTCAACTCATATAATTTATTTCTGAAAATTGTTAAGTATGTTTCATGTTTTTTGTTGAACAAATGTTTTATTTTTTTATAACTAACTTCACAAAAAAAAATTGTATTCAATTGTTTGACATGACATAATCGATAGAATATGTAATGTAAATTTGCCGGCATTCACAACAATTCCGGGATACGCCACTGGGCCCACACACCGCACCAAACAGCTTGCATGTACTATACATGCTGTACGTATTCATAACCACATTAAAGAAGTGCATTGATTTGGGAGCAAAAAACATGATGGATGTGCTGCTACAGAGAAAGTGAAAGATGAATATACATTCATTGGGTGCGCGCAAAAGCGCAACTCAGTTAGTACACTTCTCCTAGCTAAGCTACCTACCTAATGGGTTGATTTGACCTCACAATAATATAATTATCGTTTGAGTTGAGTTTTCTTCCAACAAAAAAATGATGGATGGATGAGCAGGTCCCAAATATGGCCGGTGCTGTCAAAGTGTCAAACTTCTGGAGAGCTTCTTCTTTTGGGGCGGCACAACCGGGGGAACCCTAACAACATTCAGCTGCAACACAAAATCAATTCTATTCATTTCAGATACTCCGTATAATAATATTTTCCACCACAAATTCAATTAATCAATGAATTACCTGCTTCTGTCTTTTGAGCTCCGCGTTCTCTTTCTTCAGATGTTCCACCTTTATCTCCAGCTCCTCTCGGTAAGCCTGTCCGTGCGCATTTATTTTTTTATTTATTTTCGCGTCACATTAAAGCTAGCTTGAATTGGATCCCCTTACCAACCACCCAACTCAACTATATAGACTAATCTGACCTTCTTCACCGAAATCAATGTTTTCCAAGTATAGTTTATCCACAAAAAATTTAATAACTATAAAAACACAGTTTTTGTTTAGTTTGAATTTTTTTGTTGACAAACTAGAATATGTCCACAAAATTTACGCATTTCTGGACCTGAACTTTTTCTCTATATGTATGTATATATATGTGTGTGTTCAACCAGCTATCTGACAAAATATAATTGATGTTCAATCCCTTTCAAAAAATAACCATTCCCACTTATACTCCTGTATGAGTTTACCTCATAAATGGTAGCGAGCAAATCAGTATACTTTTTTTGGGGAAAAAGTTGCATACCACTTCCATTATTCTTTATTAGCTAGCAGAATCGGGGATCTACATCCAATGCAATATTGTAAATCTATTACGGATGCACATAAAACTAAAAAAAAAAAAGAAGAGGGATTTCTTACTCAATCTCAAGAAGCTAAAAAAAGGAGTTTGACCTGTTTTTTGGCACGAGAACGTTCGGCAGACTCTCTATTCTTAATCAGCCGTTGTTCGTAGCGGCGGTCGGCGTCGCTTCCAGCTCCTCCTCGTTTTCTTGAGACGGGATGAAGCCGACGACTGGGAAGAGGAGGAGGAGGAATTGCAGCACAGTTGACGGCATCTGACGAAACAAACGCCGGGGCGTTACTGGTCACGAACAGGTCAGTCGCCGGATGACAATTACTGGCCCCACCGCCGTACTCCGTCGAGAGAGGTAGAAATTCCTGGAGGGTTGTAGTACGGAAGCCGACGGCGTTTGCTGGGGGAGGGGGGAAAGGCGAGGAGAGAGTAATGACTTTCCAGAATTCCTCCATTTGCTTTTTCCACGTGCTGTTGCCTGTTTGTGGGGGTATCACATTTTAACGAGCGTCACTATTTTGTTCAATTTTTTTTTTTAACAAAATATAATGAAGAAGATCAAGAACAGATTAAAGAGATAGATAATAGTGTAATTAATACCATTAATTAGGTTTCCATATTTATTCTCACAATAGATACATTATAAATAAGCTCTAAATAACTTCTTCTTAATCTCTGAAATTTTTGAGTTTCTGAATTAATTTACAAGACTTCATCAAGCTCCTATTTATAGTGTTTGAGCTTGATGATTAGTCACCTAAATGATGAGTCTACAGATTTGGTGGCAATAACAAATTGAGCCACCTATTCTAACTAGGTTACAAGGATCAGGAACATCTTGGTGTCCTAGTGACAAGGATGAATAATTCACACTTGTCAATTTGATGGTTTTACAACACTCCCCTTGAATGTTCATCCTTGATGAATATGTATTTGTTATCTTATTGTGAAAATGAGTGTGAAAATTAAGGGGTAAAAATTACGACATATAATGTCATTGTATTTGGATGTACTGTCTCGTTAAAAACCTTATCAGGAAAAACCCAGTGGGATAAAAACCTGATGAAGGAAAAAGAGTGCAGTGCATTCAAATACTCCCCCTGAAATTAACATAAATTTTGAAGACGGCGCATGCCGATTTTCTGTACAAGTTCTGTGAACTTCTTCGGGGGTAATGATTTGGTGAAAAGATCAGCTGGATTTTCGCTAGATTGGATTTGTTGAATGTTGATTGTTCCTTCTTTCTCAAGGTCGTGAGTACAGAAGAATTTTGGTGAGATGTGCTTCGTTCTATCTCCTTTGATGTAGCCTTCTTTAATTTGAGCTATGCACGCAGTGTTACTTCGTAGATCACAGTAGGGTAAAGAGTAATAGGCTTCATACCGCATTCATTTTGGATGTGTTGAATCATTGATCTCAGCCACACACATTCTCTTCCGCTGTCAACGTCTGTTTCATAGATCTCCACGAGATTGCGGTGTTACCATAAGTAAATACGTACCCGGTTTGTGATTTCGCCTTTTGAGGATCAGATAAATATCCAGCGTCTGCATATCCGATTAAAGCGGCCTTTTCATCTTTGTGGTAGAATAGGCCGAGATCAGTTATACCACGGAGATAACAGAATATGTGCTTGATCACGTTCCAATGATGCCTTGTTGGACATGAGCTGTACCTAGCTAATAAATTTACAGAAAATGCGATATCTGGTCTAGTATTATTGGCTAAATACATTAGAGCTCCGATAGCACTCAGATATGGTACTTCAGGACCGAGTATTTCTTCGTCGTCTTCTCGGGGACGGAATGGACCATCGTGTATGTTGAGAGATCGAATGACCATTGGTGAAGTCAAAGGATGAGCTTTGTCCATATAGAATCTCTTCAACACTTTCTCGGTGTAATTGGATTGGTGGATGAAAATTCCATTCTTCAAATGATCAATTTGAAGTCCGAGACAAAATTTGGTTCTCCCGAGATCTTTCATTTCAAATTCTTTCATAAGATAATTTACAGTATTTTCAATTTCATCGAGAGTTCCAATAATGTTTAAGTCATCAACATATACTGCAATTATGAAATGTTTTCAAGTTAATGTTATTTGCACCTAAAAAAAGCTTAGGGCCTGTTTACTAACAGAGATATTTTCTTGTTTTCTACTTCTGTTTTTCATTCTCCAATTTTCTGTTTTTATTTTTCAGTTTTTCTATCTCCAATTTTCTGTTTCTATTTTTTAGTTTTCCATTTTCAAATTTGAAAACATGTTCATCAATTTTTTCACATAGTTCTCCAATTCCACACCCTTGACCCCTACCTTTACCCGTACCACGATCTTACTACCCATACTCCACCACAACCCTTCATACCCACCCATACCTACTCGTAGGGGTCGCGTAGGGAAGTTATGGGTGGGGGTGGGGTAAGGGGTATGGTCGGGGTGGGGTGGTAAAGTTTAGGGGTAGGGGGTTGGGTGGGGGTAGTGGGTGGGTTAGGGTCGTGGGTGGGGTAGTGGGTAGGGTTGGGGTAAGGTAGGGGTAGGGTAGGGAGTTGGGATAGGATGGCAGTAAGGGTGGGGTAGTGGGTAGGGTTGGGGTAAGGTAGGGGTAGGGTAGGGAGTTGGGGTAGGATGGCGGTAAGGGTGGGGGTAGTGGGTGGGGTTTGGGGTTGGGGTAAGGTAGGGGTAGGGTAGAGAGTTGGGATAGGATGGCGGTAGGGTGGGGTCGGGACCAGGGTGGGGCTGGGGTAGGGAAGGGGTAGGATGGCGCTAAGGGTGGTGGTAGTGGGTAGGGTTTGGGGTTGAGGTAAGGTAGGGGTAGGGTAGGGAGTTGGGATAGGATGACGGTAGGGTGGGCCCGGGATCCGGGTGGGGCCGAGGTAGGGTAGGGTGGGGGTGGGGGTAGGATGGCGGTGGGGTGGGGCCAAGGTAGGAGGCATGTGGTAAGGGGTAAGGTAGGGGTAAGTGGTAATATAAGGGGTGGGGGTAGGGTAGGGTGGGTCGGGGTGGGGTCGAGGTGGTAGGGGTGGCGGTAGGGTAGGGTGGATCGGGGTGGGGCCGAGGTCGGGGCATGTGGTGGGGGTGGGGTAAGGTCATTATAGGGAAAAATGGGTACGCGGGGTGGGGGTAGGGTGGGTAGGGTAGGGTAGGGGTAAGGGGTAAGGTACGAGGATGGAGGTGCCAGAATGGAATCGACATCGGAGCGGGACCGGACCCACCACTAGGTGTAAGTATGCAAATTCATTGCAAAGGCACTGTAGCATCTGCGTTTTCCAAATTTGGAAAACTAGTAAAAGTCACTTCTCCAAATCATTAAGGAAAAGAGAAACATGTTTCATTTTTTCCGTTTTGGAAAACGATTTGGTAAACGCGTTTTTCTTTTTTCCTTTCTCCAGTTTTCCAGGAATTTCTTTGGTAAACACGTTTCCTGTTTTCTGTTTTCCAGTTTTCCAGTTTTCTGGAAAACTGAAAAATATTTCTGTTAGTAAACAGGCCCTTAGTGTCTTATTTGTACTTCTACTCCTACCATAGTGGCTAATTTGCCCCTTCCCCTTTTTTATAGATAATGTGACACGTTTTCTATGTGTTGTCATTTGTAAGTGCATGGGTCATAAGTCGGGCCAAACAAATCTAACCATGATAATATTGAACTTGTCTATCAATAAAATGAAATAATATCCTTAAAATATAGCAATATATTGGACAGATACTTTTTTGATTTTCTTTTTGATATATCGAAACTAAAGATACTTTTTTGATAACTAAAAGAAATTAACAACCCGTTTGATAGCCTCAAAAGAAAAACATACTCCGTAATATTTTACTTACTTTTCAAGCTGAATCGGCTGAATTCACTATTGAAGATCATTTTAAATATTTTCATATATATTTTCTTGATTTTATTAGTAAAATACAACATCTATCCTTGAAATGTTTGCCATATTTACTTTTCTTAGTCAATGATGGCAAACTTTGGGCATTGATTTTAATTATTGTATTTATATACTCTCTCCGTCCCATTAGACTTTGTCAACTTTCCCTTTTTGGTTGTCCAAAAAAACTTTGCCACTTTCCTATTAAAGCAACTAATATGTGGTTCTACACATTTCTTTCTTCTCTGCACAAATCTCAACCACACAGTTTTTACTATTCTTATTTTTCACATACTTTGCACTTGGCAAAGTCCACTGGGACGGATGTAGTATATATATATATATATTATTTTAATCCCGGTAGGCAAACCACCAAAATCAGTGGGGCAAACGCCGGGGAACATTTGCCAGTATTTTATTAAAATCTGAAAAGGTTACAAAAGAGAGGGCATACCCTCTCAAAAAACAGATAAAAAAAGTAAACACAAGAAAATTTAAAAAGAAATTGGGGGACCAAACCTTACCCAATTTGAGTACATCAGGCCAAAAATCTAATTGAAGGAAGCTCATAAAAATCCATATAATAAGCCCGTCTTTTGGACCGGAGTAAATCTTCAGTTGGGTCACAACATCTTTCGCTAAGTAATGTGCAACCCAATTGCTCTCACGCTTGACATGTCCGAATGAAACCATCTTATTGTCGGAGTGTTTGCAACTGCTTCTGCTTAAAAAAAAGCATTTTTGGAGAAGTAAGGAAAAAGTGATTGGTAGTAAAAGTTGATAGTGTTTGAGAAAAAAGTGATTTTGAAAAGTAAAAGTTGGTAGTGTTTGGTAAAATAAGTGCTTTTTGTGTAATAGAAAAGGGAAAAGCACTTTTCACACGCAAGCCGAGAAAAAGTAAAAATTGGTAGTGTTTAGTAAATAAGTGCTTTTTAAAGCCAAAAGCTGAGAAGTGCTTTTTTTTTAAGCAGTCGCAAACACTCCCTAAAGCAAGCATAGTTTCCTGAATTTCCTTCTTCCACCGTGGAGCTTCCTCCCCTTTCAAAATCGAAATAGCCGCTAGGCAATCGGATTCCATCTGTAAATTATCTAATCCAGCTCGAGTAGCCCACTGGATCGAGAACAACATCGCCCTCAACTCAGCTTCGAGCGGTGAAGAGGCAAGAATCGGGAAGTGAAGACCAGCCACCATCTTTCCAGCACCATCGCGAACAATCGCCCCACCCAGCGCCATATCCGAATCAAAAGCTGCATCGGTATTAATCTTTAACCCTGCTTTTGGCTTATTCCATCTAACAATCTGAAATCTCCTACCTCGAAGATGAAACCCTTTGGGAATGAGGTCTTCTTCATATATGAGATCTCCAATCTCTGAGCATTTAGGAGTTTTAAGCGAGAAAACCCACTGCTGAGTATAATACTTAATCTGCTTAATAATAGCCTGTGGATTAGTTGAAAGTACTCCATCACCCCAAATATTATTGGTATAGGTTTTCCAAATAGTCAACATACTATTCCTGGCATATTACGCATAAAGGTATCCTCAAGTTTCGTGTTACCAGATTTCAACCACCAAAGCATTAACACCTACTTGATGGTACATTGAATATTAGGAATAGTAATTCCGAAAACTCCCATGAAATAATACCAAACATTATATGAATAATTGCACTGAAAGAAAAGATGGTTTAAAGTATCTTCATGGCTTCTACATATTGGGCAAATAGATGGATTAACCACCAAGTTGAACCTCTTCAAATTGTTACTAACTGGCAGAATATTATTAATGATCTTCCATTGAAGCAACTTAATTTTAAGTTGCTGCTGAGAATTCCATATGTAATTGCAGGCAAAGGAGCTAATAGATTCTTCCCTGATGAAATTGTAGGCAGATTTCAGAGTGAATTGACCAGTGCTCTCAAGGTCCCAACAAAGATCTGAAGAACTGTTGGTAGTACATAATCATGCAGCTAGAGGATTGATGTCACAGATTCTCTTCCAAATTTCTGAATCAGTGATCTTGGGTAAGTAATTACCATCTCTATTATATTTGGCATTCGTAAATGTATTCCATAGAGAACTTCCAGTTTTCCACTTCCACCACAGCTTAAGAGTAAAAGATTTCTCCAAGTCAGTGAGAGATCTAATATCCAAGCCCCCCTCTTCTACAGGAGTACAAAGAGATGACCAATGTTTCCAATGGTATTTCTTCTTAGAACAAGATGATCCCCAAAAAAAGTCAGACAATTTGGATTCTAATATTCTCAGCACTTTTCTTGGCAGGGTATCTGTAGCAAGTGTATGTAGAGGAATGGATCCCAAGACATGTCTAATGAGAACTAATCTGCCAGCTTGAGATAAGTTCTTTTGCCTCCATGGTGTAAGTTTCTTCTCAAATTGTTTGATCAGGTTAGTGCAATATTGATATCTATTTATCCCTCTGTGCAGGCTTACCCCCAGATATTTCATAGGCAGAGGAGAGACATTAATCCCCAAAGCTCCTTTAATGCTCTGACCTCTTCTATCAGCAGATTTTCCACATACAACTGAACTTTTATCAAGATTAACAGTTTGTCCAGATGCAGTTTGGTAAGATGCTATGAATCTTTTAAAATTAACTAGATTCCTTTTCTCACCATTTAAGAAAACCAGCAGATCATCAGCAAAGCCCAAATGAGAAATAGGAAATCCCTGTCTCCCCAACCAGAAAGGCCTAATTAAACCTTGCTCCATGTGCCAGTTTAAGCCTCTTGAGAAAGCTTCTGAAGCAATGATGAATAAGAATGGGGATAAAGGATCTCCTTGTTTAACCCCCCTTAATGGCTTAAAGAAACCATAAGGAACCCCATTAACAATGATAGAAAGAAAAGTGGCCTTTAAATTATTCAAGACCAAAGAGATAAAATGAGAAGAAAAACCAAACCGCTTCAGAATATCATTAAGAAAACTCCAAGAAACTTTGTCAAAAGCCTTAGCCATATCTAGCTTAACCACCACATTAGCTCCCCTAACCTTTTTATCAATACAATGAATCATTTCTTGTGCAACACGAATCTGGTCCGCAATATCCCTACCTTTCATAAAGCCTGCTTGTTCTTTGGATATAATTTTAGGCAAAATATTACTAAGTCTAAAAGCTAAGACTTTAGTACAGACCTTATTCACAAAATTGGAGAGACAAATTGGCCTAAATTCTGCAAAGGAAGAGGGCCTTTCAGATTTAGGTATAAGAACAATCCATGAGCTTGCCAAACCTTTAGGAATAGGAATGCCCAAAAAAAATTCTTGAACAGCACTAACCACATCAGGACCCACAATAGACCAACACTTTTTAAAAAAAATCCCATTAAATCCATCAGGCCCCGGGGCCCCTTTAGAGTTGAGACTCCAAACTGCATCCTTAACCTCTTCAGCACTGGGCAGGTTAGTTAACATCATGTTTTCTTCTTCAGTGATGAGTTGAGGTATGAATTCCAAAATCGGATTAGGTGAAACTTCTGAATCTGCAGAATATAAATCTTGGAAG